TGGGGGCAATATGCTGACTCTGTAAACCGCTTAGAGAGGGCTGAAAGCCCTATGAAGCGGTATATAAGTCTAACTGCTATTGCTATAAAAGCCTAGTCTAATGAAGTGTCTAGTATGATATGTTTTAGGAATGAAGTAAAAAATCATTTTTCTTTTAGATTTTGGTAATCCTCTCTCATTTGTTACTGATTTTATTCCTGGTCTTCTTTGGATCTTTCTCTCAGCTTTTCTCCAATGAGCTTAAGGTGATGTGCATGACTCCTAGGTGCAAAAAAAAAAAAAGCAACCAACAAAATTTAAAAAATAATTCTCATCACATATTCTTTGCTTCAAGGTGTCCTTTCCCACAGTGGTTTTCTAAAATCACTCTTCAAGTTATGGAAGCTACTGAAAAAAATAATCTGCCATGTTAATCTAATTGAGAAAATCATCCAGATGATGATTTCATCCAGAAGGACAGAATAATTGCCTGCTTAATTAGAAACATAGTTTTGTTGCTTAATGCATATTTGATTATTAATAATACAGTATTTCAAAATTGTAAATCAATTGATTATAAGGTTAACTGCAATGTTGTGGGAGGAACAGAACTGAATTGATGTTGGTGCACTCGCTTATGTAACCATTGCTCCTCAGGGGTTTCAGAAGATTGATGGTAGTCCATAAGTTGAAAAAGACTGTCCACCTGTTTTCTTTTTACTTGTTCTTGAGATGTTTGGGGGCGATTTCCATGGGAACCACAAAGCTGAATTCTTTCATTCCAATTTTTAAAACAAATACGTTGTTTGCTCCAGATTCTATAGCCTGTTATTTTTTATATTCAAGCTACTTTCCTGGAGCAGCCACCATCAGACAATTTCTAAAGTTCCTGCTAAGATAGAAAAGACCTCAGGGGCTTCACATCTTTTTAGCTATGCCAGTTGGACAATTCGAGCTCAATAGATCCTTGATACTCCCTGCATTCTGCCCCAAGTAATTATTAATTCATTTCTCCTTTTTAGGGACCTGACAGTGTCTCATCCTCTGAAGGTGGAGTTGCCACGTTCTATGGTGGAAGTGGTAACCGGCTGGAACCTGCCTATGTCACGATGGCTAAACTCCTGTGAGAATGCTTAGATCTGTCTTGTCTTTAGGACACTTTGTGTGTTCTGAGTGGAGCTCTTAGCTTTAAGTGCCTGCGCCTAAATCCTGTCAATGACTCCACCAGATGGAGGAGGTTATATTTCTGGTTCTTCATTTGTATTTGTGTTCTTCTTACTAAGAGGTTTCAATAATGCTTATATTGGCTGAGGTGATGGGAATACATCTAAAAAATCAGGATGAAGAAAAGCTAGGCTAGATGCTTCCTAGTTTTATGTGTCTTTCAGTAAGTGCAGAAGTAGACTAGCGATGGTTTTAACTTTCAGACGTTTCTAAGTGAATTGCAATGCAATACAATACAATACAATAGCAGAGTTGGAAGAGACCTTGGAGGTCTTCTAGTCCAACCGCCTGCCTAGGCAGGAAACCCTATACCATTCCAGACAAATGGCTATCCAACATCTTCTTAAAGACTTCCAGTGTTGGGGCATTCACAACTTCTGGAGACAAGCGTTCTAACTGTCAGGAAATTCCTCCTCATTTCCTAGTTGCTTCTCTCAATGCAGTAAGATGGTTGATTCAGCCATGGGTTTGGTCACATCATATACACTTTCTGCTCTCAGCGTGGTTTATAAATGGCTGAGTTGATACGTTAAGCCAAAATTAAACAAAGGATATTATACATTGCACTTTGAGTGATAACAGTTTTGGAGTTGTGAATTGAGGAATGGATAAAGCAACTTGATTAGTAAGACAGCAGATGGACTATGGGCTGTGCTTGCTAGCCCTACCCATACTGATGCATGATGTTCTCCACATTTTGCCCCGTGCTTACATGGTCTGAAGCTATGGGGTTGCCTTCCTAGATGTCACACATGATTTTAGAATCACTTCTGAGAAGCCTGCTTCTGTAGGACTATGTCTGTGTTGCTGTCAGCGTTCCAAATATCATGCAGAATTAAATCAGAGTCCAAGGCATAGCTATCCTTAATGTTCCAATTCTGTGGAATCCCGAATCTGAAAACTTCCTGGGTTCCCACCCGGTTGAAAGTTCAAGATCTTGCCCCCACACCCACAAGTTCATCACATGGTCTAATCTTCCTCTGCTGAGCCAAGGTGGCGCAGTGGTTAAATGCAGCACTGCAAGCTACTGCTAGATCAGCAGTTCAGC